ACTTGGTTTATCCACTTTCATTCTTATAGTTCCTATGCTGCTGTGACTTCTATTTTTTATGTAGTGTTTCTCTCTATACCCTGTATTCTGTAATCCACCCTGCCACTTCTCCTTTAATCTCTCCTATGCTACTGACACCAGCCACACAGCTCTTTTGCTGAGGTCCTTTTTACCCTACACCTGACCAGTGAAAAACCTTAGGTATCCATCATTTGAGCAGGAAAGGACTGATTTCAGTACAGAAAAAAAGCAAACTTTTCTTCTGTGTGACACTTTTTATTTTTTACTTGAAAGCCACAGCAAAGTAACTGGTACATCAAAAACCACCTCAGTGTTTTGCTCTGAACTATCTCTTATGTGTTTCACAGAGCCTTTCACAATGTACATTTATATTTAGGAAATTCTAGAACTTTTATAATTTGCTATGTTTGAAATAATGCTTGAATATAGAGGAGCACTTTGACATTTGAAAGCACTTGAATGATATGATTTTCAGAACTTTGCTAATTACTTAGTAACATTCTGTGAGAGAATAGGCCCTGGGACTTTAAAGAGGACTGAGCGCTTAATGTGATAGAAGATAAATAATTCTCAAAATAGGTTAAAGCAGGGGTATTCGTTATCTATTGCTGCATAACAAACTATCCCAAAATTTGGCAGCTTAAAACAACCAACATAATCTCACACCGTTTCTGAGGGTTGGAAATCCAGGCATGGCTGGTTTGGGTGGTTCTAGCGGAGAGTCTCTCTTGAGATTAGTTATCTGTAGGTTTGACTAGGGCTGGAGGATTTGAGTCCAGGATTGGTTCAATCGTGTGGCTGTTATCAGGGACCTTTAAGCCGTTGACACCTGAGCCTCTTAACAATTGCCTGAATATCTTTAAAACATGGCAGCTTGCTTTCCTCAGAGTGAATAACTCAAAAAATAGCAAGATAGATAAAAGACACAGTATCTTTCATAACCTTGACTTGGAAGTGACATACCACCACTTGTGCCGAATTCTATCACAGACCATCTCTGACAGTGTGAGAGGAGATTACAAAGGACGTGAAGATTAGGCAGCAGAATCATTTGGGGTCCTTTTGATGGCTGGATACCACAGCCAGAAATCATAAATTACACATAGAAAGTGTAGGTATTTTGATTTTAAAGGAATAACTGCGTTCTTTGGCTAATCTTTTGATGTAGGGTCAAGATCTTTACTTGGAATATGGATTCGCTTGGTATTCTGAGATAACTTTGTTGCAAAAACTACATCTGTAAATCATCACCTGGGATTTCCAGTTTCCCTTACTTTTAAAGGAGAAAAATGTTACCTGAAAGCAATGAGTGTCGATTCCCCTTGATTTTAATAATCTTGTACCTGATCTAACTCTCTTTGCTTTTATATTTCTTTTTGTAATGTTTATGTAATTTCATTAACATGCAACTGATATAACCAAGTTTGAGAACAAAACCAACAAATTCATGATAAATGTGTTTTTACAAATTGGCAGATCTTGGGTTTCTAAATGTGTTCTCAAACTTAGCATGTTCAAAACAGAGCTCCTGGCCACACCTGCCTCAGCCTCCTCCTCCCATCTCTCTCATCCCAGGAAATGACAATTTCATTCTCCAGATCCCAGGCCACAAAGGTCTTTTCCACATACCTCATATTCAATGTTACCAAAACCCTACTAGTTCTACTTTTAAAACAATGTACCAAGAAAAAATGTGCCGAGCGTTTCTCAACTATCACTGTGGCCCAAACTCCCATCCCCTGTCATCCTGATTATCGTGGAACCCTCCTAATTGGTCTCCCTGCTGCAGTTAGTGTATTTGCAGCACATCAGCCAGAGTGAGCATGTTAAGAATGTCAGGTCAGCCTGGCTCAGGGGTGGGCAAACTTTTTGACTCGAGGGCCACAATGGGTTCTTAAACTGGACCGGAGGGCCGGAACAAAAGCATGGATGGAGTGTTTGTGTGAACTAATATAAATTCAAAGTAAACATCATTATATAAAAGGGTACGGTCTTTATTTTTTTTAGTTTTATTCATTTCAAACGGGCCGTAGTTTGCCCACGGCTGGCCTGGCTGGTAAGGCTCAGTGGTTGTGTTGACATGTGAACCAGGAGATCTCAGACTCCCAGTCAGGGCACATGCCCGGGTTGCAGGATCCTCCCCAGTGGAGGATATGCAGGAGGCAGCCAATCAATGAGTCTCTCTCATCATTGATGTTTCTATCTCCCTCTCTGAAATCAATTATATATATTTTTAAGTGACCTGTAATAAACTTTTCTATTAAAAAAAACCTCGCCGAAACTGGTTTGGCTCAGTGGATAGAGCGTCAGCCTGTGGACTGAGAGGTCCCAGGTTCGATGCCGGTCAAGGGCATGTACCTGGGTTGCGGGCACATCCCCGGTGGTAGATGTGCAGGAGGCAGCTGATCGATGTTTCGCTCTCATCGATGTTTCTAACTCTCTCTATCTCTCTCCCTTCCTCTCTGTGAAAAATCAATAAAATATATTTTAAAAAACAAACAAACAAACAAAAAACCTCAAGTCAGATGATGACACTACTTTGTTCAAAATCCACCAATGGCCACTCATTTTATTCAGTAAAAAGTTACAAAACGGGTCTTCCACAGTCCGCCTCCTGCACCACTCCATCTTCTATTATTTCACCCTCTGCCTACTCAGCTCCACCCCCACAAGCCACCTTGTTCTTCCTAGAACAAGTCAGACGCCTCCCCTGGACCTTTGTGCCTCTGACTGCTCTTCCCCCAGATTCTCCAGCCATTTACGTAGCTCACTGCCTCGCTTTCCTCAAGACTTCTACTCATCTGAGACCTTCCCTAGCCACTCTGTGTAAAAGTACAAAATCCACCCACCCCATTCCCAGCATTCCTTGCTTCCCTGCTCTGATCTTTCCATATTGCATATCACTCAGTACTACATAGTTCATTTATTTGCTTACTGCCGGCCCTCCTCCATCAGAATGTATGTTCCATAATGGCAGGGCTTTTTATTTGTCTTGTCAGTACTGTATTCTCAGTATCTAGAATTGAGTATTTGTTGGCTGAATGATGAATTGATGGGAGAAATAATGGGCTTTGCATGTTGTGGATAGCTATCAGTTTTATAGTTAGAATGGAGAACTTTGTTTAATCTGGTGAATCTGTTTAGAGGATATCAGTGAAGAGAGCTTCTAATCCTTTAAATCATAAAAATAAATGTAATTATAAGTTGATGAGTATAGGAAGGAAGAGGGTGGAATGAGTTTATAACAGCAGACTGATACAGATTGGCGTGAAAGAAAGACCCTCTGAGAAAGCAACATTGAAGAGGACAGCAAACGTTTATGTTGAAGTTAGGCAGGTAAAGAGTGTGGGAAAGAGGATTTCATGCAGAGGGAACGGCCTGTGCAAAGGTCCTGAGCCAGAATGACCAGGTAGAGTTCCATGAGCTGAAGGTCAAGGTGATGGTATTGAAGGGCGCAAGGGGGCGAACGAGATCATCCAATGGCTGTTTTAATTACCGACCTAGGACTTTAATTGAAGAAGGGATGGTTTACTCAGAATTTTCATTCTGAGTAAATAGTGAATGGGGATGGGGTGGAGGAGAAAAGTTAGAGGTAAGAGCAGACGCTTTTTGAACATCCCTGAAGATGTAACCTGTTGTCTGCTCAGTGCTAGACGTTGGACGTGGCTGTCCCTGGTTTATCTGTGTGGAGGCTAGTTCAATTCTTAAATTACTTTGTTTATATTCACTTTCAGCATGCAGCGAAGAACTGAAGATCTCTCCCACCAGAATGAACGCCCTCTCTGGGTGAGCATTTCCGGTTTTCACGTGGGTTGCTTGATGGGTGTAACTGACAAGCTTGTGGTCCAGGTTGAAAAGGCCCTTCGGGCCCTAACCGGTTTGGCTCAGTAGCTAGCGTCAGCCTGCGGACTCAAGGGTCCGGGTTCGATTCCGGTCAAGGGCATGTAGCTTGGTTGCGGGCACATCCCCAGTGGGGAGTGTGCAGAAGGCGGCTGATCGATGATTCTCTCTCATCATGTTTCTAACTCTCTCTCTCTCTCCCTTCCTCTCTGTAAAAAATCAATAAAATATATTAAAAAGAAAAGAAAAGAAAAGGTCGTTCGGTGCTAAGATTCCCAAATACCCTTAATGTAGGTTTAGAAAGGCCAGAGATGACTGGGTTCAATTAAAGAAAGATAATGTAATTACTTCCTTTTATTCCTCCTCCCCCTCCTTCTCTTCTTCCACTTCTCTCTATCGACTACTGTCTTTGGAGTTAAAGATCAGAGCCAAGAAAAGGGGAGCAACCAAGGATAAAGTGGTCCCCGGGCTGCTGCCCTCTGCTCTCAGTCCGCGTTAGAAAGCTGGCCTGGAAGAGGAGCTGCGAGAAGGGGGCTCCGGGGCACGCCGGCTGAGGGCAGCGGGAGGCCAGCTCGGCCTATTTGTTCCTTTCCAATATCGCCCCTTTCCCACCGGGAAGGCAGCCTCCCTGCCCCTGGGAGGTGGGGGCCGACGCAAGGTGAAGGGGTCAGTTGAGAGACCCAGAGCCGGGCGACAGGCGGCTTCTGGCGGAAAGTTGGCAGCCACCGCCCGCGTCGCCGGCCTTCCTCCTCGACTCTCCACCCCTCTCCGGGCGATACGGCGGAGGTGGGGGGGCTGGGGGGACTGGCCTTGTGTTTTGGAACAGCTGCTGCCGGCGCTGGGCCCGCCTGGAATGCGGGAACAGGCTGCGCACCAGGACTTTTATGGAAACTTGCTGCTGGAGACGGCGGCGGCGACAGCCAGAGGGCTCCCGGCGGCAGGAGCGGCGGCGGCGGCGCCCAGACCCTCGCCCATTCCCAGGCGCAGGACGCGCGCAGCCTCTCCACGCGCCACGAGGGCCATCGCTGGTC